CAAAGTCAAAGCGCGCTCTGTGTGATCTTGGACGCGCAGAAGAGTTCCAAACACAAAAGAGCTCCAAACACAAAAGAGCAGGTGTGATCTTGGACGCGCAGAAGAGTTCCAAACACAAAAGAGCTCCAAACACAGAAGAGTTCCAAACACAAAAGAACGGGTGTGATCTTGGACGCGCAGAAGAGTTCCAAACACAAAAGAGCTCCAAACACAGAAGAGTTCCAAACACAAAAGAGCGGGATTTGGTAACGGTATAGCGGGATTGGGTAACTTGTGCGGGAAATGGTAAACTTCAATTGAAGCCTTTCTAAACTGCTCCGGAGCAATCGTCGTAAAAAACCCTATACCCTAACCCTAACCCTAACAGACGTGGCTGAGATATATAAGAGATTTTGAAATACTTACAATAAGGTAGCTTCTCTGGCTGTGAGGTATGTATCACGGTTTGCATGACGCAAGTTAAGCGACGTCTAGCGTGTTATACTATTGGGTGGGTGACCACTGCACGTTGATAGCTACCAGGCGATATAATGATGAAGAAAGTAGCGGTCTGAAACACGGCTGATGAAGGCTTACTCTTCTGAATATTGACATTTTTTTTTCTTTCCTTAAGGAGTATATGACCATAAAAAGCAATCAAGTTCTAACTCAGTGATTGATTTGATATAATTCGTAGTGTTTACATACAGGAAGTGACAATATTACATACTCTAATATGTCTATATTTTGAACTTATAATATTAAAAAGTTAATATAACCCCTAATCCTGATCTAATATACTCTGATTCATTTCTCATTAGGCTGATCTAGTATACCTCCACCCATTACCCAATACACCTTATTTAGCATACCCTTTCTAATTATTTCTGATTTTTTTTCAAATTCATTTGATTTTTCGGCTTACTAGCTATTAGGATCTTCTCATGAAGAATTCAAAGTCTTCATAACATTCAAGGGTTTTGGAAGGTATGCAAGATATTATTTAAGTATTTTGATCGTTTCAACCAAAGTAAAGCACTATAATTTCTTTCAGCGTTTTATTAAATGTGTTTTAATGAAGACTTTTGTCCGCTATTTGGTAACACTGAAGAAAAGACTAAGTCTAAAAAAAAACAACGTTTTTTGGGGTCGTGTTTTCTATACGATTTGGGTCATTTCCTATCCAAAAAGATGGGTCAAGTTTTGGTCATTTTGTATTTTGTATTATTGAAACAGTTTCCAACGGTATTTGGTAACGTGAAGTGCGGGAAATGGTAACCTAAGCTCATTGAAACCATTTCTAATGGGCATAACAAATAAATAAGAGCATTATTTGGTTAATGGGTTCGTAATTTTTCACATGCAGGAAGATGACACCCTTGGCTTCAATAGGTTTTGAAATCAAAGCAAATGAGTGATTTGGTAACTTAGAGCGTTATTTTGTAACCTAAAGCGATAATTGGTAGCTTGTGCGGGATTGGTTAACTTGTGCGGGAAATGGTAACCTAGAGCGGAATTTGGTAACGGTATAGCGATAATTGGTAACTTGTGCGAGATTGGGTAACTTGTGCGGGAAATGGTAACCTTTTTTCAATTGAAGCCTTTCTAAAGGGCAGGAGAAGTAAAGAAGAGCAACAAGTGTTCAAAAAGTTGCAAGTTTATCACATTCTGAAAGATGACACTCTAGGCTTCTGTAGTTAAAGAGAACAAAGCAAAAGCGTGATTTGGTAACTTAGAGCGGGATTTGGTAACGGTATAGCGGGATTTGGTAACAAAGCGGGATTGGGAAACTTTTGCCGGAAATGTTGACTTGATTTCATTTGAATCCTATCTTACGGGCATAGGGCATTGAGAAGAGTACGTTCTCAGAGATATTTAAAGAAGAAGCTCTTGGCTACTGTACTTCAGGAAATCAAAGCCAAAAGGTCAATTGGTCAATGAAATTATATTCCTTCTTGAATTTTCGGAAATAAAGTGCTATGTGTCTGATGAGATGGGGGCCTAGATAGCGTCTGCTATAGTACAGAGTAAATTGACAGTGGAGACTTATGCTGCTTCATGTTCACGCTAGCAAGAACTAACCATACGATCACTTATTATTAGGAAACAAAATATGGGCAAAAATTTATGATATTTAGAAGAATAAGCCTTCATCAATTGTGTTTCAGACTGTTCCTTTTATCATCACTATATCACCTATTACACCTAACCTAATATACCTGTACACCTACCCATTGCCCTTTCCTAGTATACCCTGAACAATTACTCATTTACCTTGTATACCCATTACCCCTAACCATGATCCAATATACTTTGACTCATTTCCCATTATGCTGATCTAGTATACCTCCACCCATTACCCAATACACCTTACTTAGCATACCCTTCCTAATTATTCCCGATTTTTTTTTTCAAATTCATTGAATTTTTTGTCTTACTAGCTATTAGGATTTTCTCATGAAGAATTCAAAGTCTTCATAACATTCAAGGGTTTTGGAAGGTATGCAAGACATAATTTAATTATTTTGATCGTTTCAACCAAAGTATAGCACTATAATTTCTCTTAGCGTTTTATTAAATGTGTTTTAATGAAGACCTCTTTCCGCTATTTGGTAACGCTGAAAAAAAGAGTCTAACAGAAAAATAAAACGATTTTTGGGTTCGTGTTTTCTATACGATTTGGGTCATTTTCTATCCCAAAAAATGGGTCAAATTTTGGTCATTTTGTATTTTGTATTATTGAAACAGTTTCCAACGGTATTTGGTAACGTGAAGTGCGGGAAATGGTAACGTAAGCTCATTGAAACCATTTCTAAAGGGCATAACAAATGGATAAGAGCATTATTTGGTCAATGGGTTCGCAATTTTTCACATGCAGGAAGATGACACCCTTGGCTTCAATAGTTTTTGAAAACAAAGCAAATGAGTGATTTGGTAACTTAGAGCGTTATTTTGTAACCTAAAGCGATAATTGGTAACTTGTGCGGGATTGAGTAACTTGTACGGGGAATGGCGATCTACAGAGGGATTTGGTATCGGTATAACGGGATTTGGTAACAAAGCGAGATTATGTAGCTTCCTGGAGATGGTAACTTTTATTTTCAATTGAAGCCTTTCCAAAAGCGGAATAATAGAGGAAGGAGTTGACGTTAAGGAAGAATTAGGGTTATTCATATGAAGAATCCCTATTTCTATCAACAAATGTAAAAAGAAATCCAGATTCCATTTTTTCCCTATCAAAGATCATTTGTGAAAGAAAACACATCTAAAATCATTCCTTTACTGCCAAACTTTCTCTGAAGTTTGATTATCAAATTTTACCTATTTATACATGAAAAGTCAACGGTACAGAAAAACTAAGTGTTTGCTTGTTAAAAGTAAAATCAAACTTGATAAAACAATTTCGATAATGAAATGATGATTTAACGTTAATGGACAATCATATAATGTGAATAAATACAAGAAGCATATAACTACAAATAATCAAGGCTTTGAATAATCTCACAAGACTAAAATCTGAGTAAGATAGACTAAGTTTCAAATAAAGTCTTAACCGGTGTACGATAGTACCATAGTAAACGTAATCACGTACAAACTACTTATGAACTATATAGTTAACTATTATAGTTTGCTATAGTAACTTATTGCTAAATATAGTCAACATTTCTAAGGCTAACCGTGACTTCAACTTCAAGAAATTCACTTTCTAAACAATGTCCTTACTCTGTCAATTATTTTCTTTTGGTACTCTGATCCTAATTTATTTTGCATATTTAGCAAGAACAGCCTTCCCTCCTGTGATTCTTGGAGATGGCTAATCACTGCCAGTTTTGTAATGCCTTTTGTTACGTCCAATCCGCTCAGCAGGACTACTAGAGTTCTCACCTCTATCTCACTAAATGATCTCCTTCTATGTGGCTACAATACATTTAAAATCATGTAAGGTATGTTTATAAAAACTAAGATAATGAATAATTAAGCAAATGAAATATTAGAAGTACCAGATAACTTACCCCTGACGGCAACTGTGGAAAACCTTCAGGTGTTTGTGTCTTTTTCTATTTAAAACACACTATGTTTAAATATCGTCCGATTCATTTTTTGAAATACAATTTCATAATTTTAAAAGTTTTATGATGAAGAGACTTAAGTATTTGATGATCATAGAATTTTTTTTATAAGCTACGTGCTTCAGTACATCTATTTTAAATTATGATTTTCGGTATAATAGATATGTATATAATAAACAAAATGGAAGAAGCAGGGTATAATGGAAGAAGTGGCAGAAATTTTGCTTCCAACAGTCATTTGCTTTTAAAATTACAATCATAACATTTACCTTTTTAGAGTCAGAATCAGGGGTAGGGTTAGGGTTTGAACTACCTTCCTCAGTACCTGTCTGCGATATCTTAGAATATAAGAAAATATTTCACCGACATTTTAAAAAGAAAATAAAACATTTTCATCGAAGGAAAATGCCAAGAAATAAAGAGAACTGCATTAAGATATACCTCTTGAATGGACTTCAGTATTTGATGATCATAGAATTTTTTTTTATAAGTTACGTGCTTCAGTACATCTATTTTAAATTATGTTTTTCGGTATAATAGATATGTAATAATAAACAAAATGAAAGAAGTAGCGTATAATGGAAGAAGTGTCGGAAATTTTGCTTCCAACAGTCATTTGCTTTTAAAATTACAATCATAACATTTACCTTTTTAGAGTCAGAATCAGGGGTAGGGTTAGAGTTTGAACTACCTTCCTCAGTACCTGTCTGCGATATCTAGAATATAAGAAAATATTTCACCGACATTTTAAAAAGAAAATAAAACATTTTCAGCGAAGGAAAATGCCAAGAAAGAAAGACAAGTGCATTAAGATATACCTCTTGAATGGAGCTTGTCTGTGCAATCTGTTTGGTAGTTCTTGAGGCCTAAATAAAAGAAAACAGGATTTTTGAGCATCCTTAACTGTACAAATTTGAAGCTTTGAACGTTGAAATCAATATAGAAACGTACTTCACTTTCCCCTTCCATGACAGCCGTTATGAGCCTGGACACGGGCACCGCCATCTTTGATTTGTCTGACATGTGATAATATCTGTCGGCCGTGGAAGGCTCATGGGACATGTGCCTAGCTAGCACATCCCTTGAAGTGGGTACAGCCCTTCTGACTTCGGTGACAACGGATTTTCTGAGCCTAGTTGTAGAAATCGGTTTGTTTGAACCGAACATTGTATTCCACAATCTGCCGAGACCTTTGTTTAAGCCTGAATTGTCGAGTGGCTGTGGAGGTTTTCCCCCCGTGGGCCATTTAATGAAAATGGAATCCGACATCTTGAAGACGAAGTTCGGCAATCTTCTTGCCAGGTGGATATATTTTTGCACAAAGAACCAGAGCTCGGGTGATAAGCTGATCATCGCCGGGCCTTTGAAATCCGTCTTATGCTTCGTTACCTGTAATTTAAAGGTTCCTTTAAAAATTGTCCTTGGCAGAATTTTCACCAAATAGGAATTTACATTGTTACTTATGTCAGCATTTCTTCACAAGACTATCTTTTTTTTTTTTTACAAGAACTCATTTCTTTGATTGAGAGTGTGTATGCGTGAATGTGCTTAAGAGTATGTTTGATTATGTGTATGAGTGCAACTTTGGATGCAAGCGTGTGTGTGGATAACTCACAGTCAGCGTGACATATCCCTCCTCTCTTAGCTGTCGTTTTTTAATAACGTCGTGCGTTATCGAAAGCACGGCTCCTGCCCTCTGGCCATTTGCTATAAGGATCCGGAAAATCACGTAGTCCCGAACCTTGATAAATAACTCCATTGTACATTTGATATGTGAGGCTTGGCGAATCTCGTCCTCTATAGACGCCACCAAGTCAGATTTTAAAAACTGATTGATTTCTTCCGGACTTATCAAATTGCCTGTTAAAAGAAACTTGATTAAATATACATTTATATGTCACTTATAAACCTACTTTCTTATGTATGCTTTTCAATGATTTTCCAAGAAACACAAACCTAACGCATCTGCCTCCACTTCTGTTCTTCGCTTCGCAATTTTTTTCCGCAAGCTCTTCCTGGCATCTTTCAACATCTGTATCATTCGATGCAGGTGGCCCTGCTTCTTTCCAGTTGGGAAGTCTGCCTTAATACAGAATGCTAAGAAGTCCCCCAAGCTTTGCATGTAAGCTTTAACAGTGCTCGCCTGCCACTGCTCCATGGCTGTGTTGAACCAAACATCGAAGATTTGTTCCTCATCTACAAGATCCCCTACAAAGAATGTAGGGGTCTTCCGCACCACCTTCCAGATATTAAAAATATGGGTAACGATTTGGTGCGCCGTTTTTTCATCTTGAAGCGACAATGGGCCCTTCAGGGTCGCTTTAAATCGGGCCAGGATTGGAACTTGAATTAAAAAAAAGTTAATTTATATCTCTGATAGCAAAAAAAATATTGAATACATCATTCCATTTTAGCAACTTACTACATACCGGAAGCATAAAAAAGAAAGTATTAAATTTAATGAGATGGAAAGACCAAATAAAGATAAATAGAAATGATTTCAAAATTCTAGAGCATTGGCTTACCGTCGGTACATGATTGGTATTTCTCTCCTGGGCTTGGGCGAGGCCAGTAGAGGATCGTGTCGTCAGAGGACCTAAAAGAAATGAAAAGTCTCTGTAACATTATGTGACATTACGAAAGAAAAAAGAAAGGCAATGTAGGAAGTGAATCAAAACTGAAATGAAAGATATTTTTACCCTGATGGTTTGAGAATATTTCTAAATATTTATCTGATGTAACAATCAAATTCTATCACATTCCTTTATTCAAGAAAAATGAAGATACCAACCTACTGCTAGGAACTTCTTCCACTCTTTCCACACTCTTCCTATAAATAGCATAAAAATTTACTATCAACAACAAACAAGTGATTCATTTGTCAAAATCATCTTCATTGTTAAGATCTGAAAAGTATTGCAAATGTGAATATACTCACCCATAAATACAAGCTTCTCTAACTGTTTCCATTCTTCTGATTTCCTGATCTTCCCTACCAAAATGTCACAAAACACTTCAGCAAATTTAAAAAAAATATATTCAGAACAAGCTTTAATCAATTCTGCTTCAGACCGTTCTTTTCATCATCACTATATCCCCTATTACCCCTGACCAAGCATACCAAGACACCTTACCACTACTGTTTTCCTAGTATACCCTGAACAATTTTAAATTTACATAGTACACCCATTACTCCTAATCCTCACTAAATATATCCGAACTCTTTTCCCATTAGTCTCACCTAATATACCTCTACGCATTACCCATTAAACCCTTCCTCATACTCACTATTCTTTTTTTCAAATTCAATTGATTTCCGTCCTACCAGTTAGAAGGTCCTTCTCATCAAGAATTCATAGTAAGATTATTACCATTTGGCATTAATTTACGAATTTTATTTGAAACTTCAACGAAAATCCTGAAATAGTTTCCAACGGTATTTGGTAACTCCAAGTGCGGGAAATGGTAACATACACTCATTGAAGGCATATCTAATGGGTATGCCAAATGGATCAAGGGATTACAGCGTCAATGGTTTCATTATATTTAACATACAGGGAGATGATACCCTTTGCTTCAATAGTTTACCAAATCAAAGCAAATGAGTGATTTGCTAACTTAGAGCGTTATTTGGTAACCTAAAGCGATAATTGGCAACTTGTGCGGGATTGAGTAACTTGTGCGGGAAATGGTAACCTAGAGCGGGATTTGGTAACGATATAGCGGGAATTGGTAACAAAGCCGTATTGGGTAACGTGCGGGAAACGGTAATCTGATTGCATTTCAATATTTTCTATGGGGCAAAGGAAAGAAAAAGAGTATTACAATGTCAACTTGGTTGTTATCTGTTCTGTGGGATTTGAGAAAAGGGTCGGAAATAGTAACCAAGAGTTTGTGCATTAAATGGTTACTAAAATAACGGTTCGTTCGGATGCCTCTTAGATTATTAAATGGAATTGCCGAAGCTGAGTGACTAAGATGACAATAAAACTATGGATTATTTTAACCCTAATCCTTACTTAACTGTACAAAATCCTTGCTTATTTGAAAAATGCTTAATTTTTATGAGCAAAGAATTCCTGCTTTTATTCAATTTTACCCTTAATGTTTAAGAAAGGAATGCTTATTTTTACTGTGATCAATGAATTCCTGCAGTTACTGAATTAGTCTAACCCTTATCTTTAAGAACAAAAGAAACTTTTGTGTGATATTCAGATGCTTAATTCTTAATCAAATGTGATTCAGAAAGTTGCTGTATCATCACTATATCACTTGATAACCCCTTGTGAAACCTTGCAACGTGCAGCTGTCACCCATCCAAGTACTGATCATGCTTGACGTTGCTTAACCTGCATCATCAAGACGAGGGACATGTCGCATAGCAAGAAATGCTATCTTACTTGTAAATCAGTATAATTTCCTTTTATATTTCAGTTATTTTTTTTGGTTTCATTATTTTATTTTTGGTCAAATGACATACACTTAAACAATTACAATGTGGTTTATGATACACACTGAATTAAAAAATATTATGGGAAAAGTTTAAATTTTAATTTTCTCGAAGCAAGCTGATACGAACCGGTCCATCTCAGTTGTTTCTTCCAATTTTTCCAAGGATGCAGTGGGTGAGGATATGCATCTTTTTTCAGCTGCGTCCATGGTACTTTCCCTACAAACAGTTCAAATGATTATTCAGCTGTAGTGCAAATAAAATCAAATTTAAAGTCATACAAGTATGCTTGTGCTCACAAACCTTTCATCATCACTTGGGTCTGTAAGGTTCTCCAGGTGTAGAGAAGGTACACATTCATCACTACAAAATGAAGATATATGGATAATTGAAGAAATATATTTCTATACGATTGAATTAATGCTTCAAAATTCAACCTACGTCGTAAAGTTGTCCACAACTTTGGGACTTCGGAAGCGGAGGTCCTCAATGCGTTCTCTTTTGGAGATGTGGTGCGTCCTCCGCAGATGGTCCCCAAAGCGCGCAATGGCCTTGTTGCACAAAATACATTGGCGAACAATGTAACGCCCTTGCCTCACCGGTTTTTCAAACACCTCCTGCTTATGGACCTGCCTCATATGCCGCCGCATATGGACAACTCTCTTCCCACACTGTAAACAAGCATGTTTTTGTCGGAGTCTTTTTACAGTTTTCTTTTCCTTAACAGTCTTTCGGGTTGATGGTTTTTTCTTTTTACCTTTTCTGAACTTTGAAATTTCCTCCAGGGAAAATAAACTCTCTGAATCCTTTTCTGTGATTGCTTCGTTCAACATTCTCCTAAGCTCTCCTTCCCTGGAGGAAATCTGAGAGCCTGTAGTCTCAAATCTTCTATCTTTGGGGAGCGACACAGACGTTGAAACTCTGTCCAACTTGTGTGACCCACGCGCCATTTGGGACTGATGCTCCAACCATTTCTGTAGGCTATCCTCCTTCCACTGTTTCACAGACGATTCTTCGTTGGTATCATCTGGGAAAATATCCAAAAAATATGACTGTAACTGTTATTTAGGAAAAACATTGTTAAAAAATAAGTTCATTTTTTCTTCAGCATGATTTTATCCTTAGCAAACTTATATTCTTGTTTCCCTTAGATATATCAACTGCAAATTATAGAATATCTCCGATATTATTAGATATTATAGAATATCTAGGTCAGATTCATTACCAGAGAAACAAGGATCTTTATTTCCCTGGGACTCCGCCACATCATCTTCCATCTCTACTAAAAGGAATCACAAAATGCTCCAGTAATTACAAAATGCAACTCGATAAGATGATATGAAGGAGAAATAAATGATATATTATAAATATTAAATATCGTAAAATTTAAAAAAAAAATTAATATATATTTGGTGTCTATTATCGATAGGAGAAGAAGCTGAATTAACTCCTACCTGGCACTTCTGGAATAAACCCTCCAGATCCTTTAGAACAAAAGATATATAACAAAATTGATTAGATCTCTATCTCTTCTACACACACACCCTTACAGAGAGAGAGAGAGAGAGAGAGAGTGGGGGAGGGAGGGATAGTATATTAATATATTATATATATCTTTGTTTCTATGAAAGTTAAAAACACTCTTTATGTGCACGTTAAGATGAAAGCACATGCTTTATTTTCAAGCAAACGAAAGGTGGATTGTTTATTACCTTGCTCCGATGTCATTTCATGAGAGCTATCCCAAATTTCTGAAATGAAAGGTATTATACAGTATAGCACAAATACAGCTTGTAATCAATCACGCTTACAGTAAAATGATTTTTATGTACTTCAAAAACGCATTATGCATAGAGTAGGCATAACAAATTAGTTGATATATTTGTGAGTGCTCTTGTGTGTCTTACTGATGTCAACGGGGGGGATG